GTCAAGATTTGCTAGAATCAAGTAATCAAGTATGCGCAAGCATTACATAATTTTATATAATGATATAATGATAAGTAAAAAGTCATCCGATATAATGGACATTACACAACAATGTCAGCGGATTTGGGGGAAAATCGACTGATACGTTATATCGATATATAACTATTTTTGGTTTCTTTTGAGGTTCTATCGCTATGATTTTAAATTCATTATTACATTTATTAGAGGTTGGCGTTAGAAAGCAATTATAATTGTGTACCTTTGATATTATTACAATAATATAATTCCCGCATAAATTTTTTTATATGCACATTTATTTTTTGAACCACTATTAATTATGAGTGCGTGAGAGTGAAAACATGAAACTTATAATAGTAAATCATTATATGCAAATTGCAGGTTTTCACTCTCACGCGCTTATATATATCCATATCTTTATATGTACGTATAAGAACATTGAACATTGTTTTATAAAGTTTCTGAGGGTCACTACATGATGTGTACAGTCACGCTCCCCTATAATCACACCATCGGCGGATTTTTACACAACCCCCCAAAATTAAGGTCAACTAGTTGGGGTGTAATTAGAATTACGTACGTACAGTGCATACGAAATTATTAAGATTCAGGAGTCATTACCGTTAGATTAACTATCGTTCATTATTTTTAGGGACAAGTAAAAAGGCCCGATTAACTAAATCCGCCGATATGTTATTCAACATTAAAAATAATTCATTAATAGTGATCGACAGGGTGGATATATATGATCAATTCGATTGTATATAGATTATTATAAGGCGCAGAATTCAACTCGATCTACCGCCACCTTAAGAGCTTTTTCGATATTACGGTTTTCACCATTTCAGCTTTTACTGCAAAATATTCATACTCAACAGTTATTGTATTTTAAAGCTACAAAATAATTTAGATCCGAAAAATAATTTATGAAGTATCTCCACCTAATAACAAAATATGATCATCTTGATCTGAAGGTTTATCAGATCTCAAAAAACAGCAACATACACTATTTTTAAGTCCAGTTACACCACGTTTAATGCTATTAATCAACTGATCACGTTTAACATAGATCCATGGTTTAGAATTTGATATCCGATCAATGCGTAAGCGATGGGAGGTATCAATGCATGTGATGATACAAGCCTTTAAAAATATACATATGCAACAAATGAGTATGAACAGGTGCAGATAATTAAATAACAATAATAAATAATAATATTTCTTACAAAGATCGACATAAGAACACCTAAAGCTGATGAAGCAGAAATCATAAACATAATAATTTGTTGATATTTTATTGCATCCATGATAGGTGCACCGGCAATTAACTGACCCGTCAGCATTCCTATATAACGC